AAAAATGCTTGTTTTTTGTCCCTTTTTTGGCCCCAAATTCCTAAACATTTAGGGCAATTACCCCCAAACTCATACCCAGCTTTCCCTTTGTGATATGGAACCTTGTAGTACAATTTCATAAAGATCCATACACTTACACACAAGTTATTGTCATGAAACTAGAAAAATGCTTGTATTTTGCCCCTTTTTGGCCCCTAATTCCTAAACTTTTGAGGCAATTACCCCCAAAAACAATCCCAGCCTTCCCTTTGTGGTATGGTACCTTGCAGTACAATTTCAGAGAGATCCATACACTTGAACACAAGTTATTGTCTGGAAACTAGAAAAATGCTTATTTTTGGCCCCTTATTCCTAAACGTTTTGGGCAATTACCCCCAAACTCAATTCCAGCTTTCCCTTTGTGATATGGAACCTTGTAGTACAATTTCAGAAAGATCCATAGACTTACACACAAGTTATTGTCATGAAACTAGAAAAATGCTTGTTTTTTGCCCCTTTTTTGGCCCTTAATTCCTAAAATTTTGAGGCAATTACCCCCAAAATCATTCCCAGCATTCCCTTTGTGATATGGAACCTTGTGGTACAATGTCAGAGAGATCCATACACTTACACACAAGTTATGTCTGGAAGTTACAAAAATGCTTATTTTTGGCCCCTAATTCCTTAACTGTTGGTACCATAACCCCCAAAATCAATCCCAACCTTCTTTTTGTGGTATTAAACCTTATGGTAAAATTTCATAGAGATCCATTCACTTAAACTAAAGAGTGCGAAAACTAATGTGTCTTCGGTATGACACCAATAAAAAAATTATAAGTTTTTGTTTTGTAAGCAATAAATGCTTACAAATTACTGATTACAGACTAACAGGATTTTACATATAGAATTTAAAGTAAAAATATATGTTTTTTGCTACACTTGATTTAAAAACAGGAAGGGCAACAACCCTAAAAATTTGTACATGACTTGTTTTATGCCAGGACACAGTGGGTTGAAATTTGATATTATTAAGTCATCTTAAACAAAAGTTACACCTGGGACATTCTTGTGTCTAAATAACAATGCCATTTCAAACTGATAATTCAAATACAATTTGTTTTGAAGTAGACTATATATCGGTTATGGACACTGGCATATATTATAAGATGAGCAAGACTCACTAAAAGGAAATTGACATAAGATCATAGTTTCATACTAGTTTTCGTCCATTCATACCGGTTTCTTTTTTTCATTACCCAATGTCCAAGTGTGAAAGGAAGAATTTTTAGGAAACTGGATGAACCTACATGTGAATTATTACAGTTATCAATAAGCTAATAATTACTTACGACGAACAAATATTATCATGCTTATGACATTGGTTCGTATATTTATAATTGTCTCTTTCAAATTCAACTATGGTTAAATAGAAATAGAGTGTAAGAAATGGTCAAATGATTTAACCTGATTAAGATAATTCTCATTCATTAAATTTGATATTTGATATTCAGACAGACATCTGTTTCAATATTTTTAACACTTTTTTTTCTTTTTCAGATTCTAGTCATACTTTGCAACATGCTTGCAGGAAGAGGATTATTTTGTACTTTGCCCAACAAGGAAGGCTAAATAAACAACTAATTGATAGCTTGCCATTACCTAAAATACTACAAGATTATATTTTATTTAGAGATGACAGCATACTTTACAGTGATTTGGTGTTAGATGCTTTCAATTATTTATTTGACCAATAAATGTTTGCATATTAATAGTAGGAACACTTTGATGAATTATTCATCTTGTTATATTTAATATATTTATTATTTATTTCTGTGTTTAAAGTCACTTACTGCTAGTCGAACCCTGAACAGTTAGAAAGCCAAACAAGTATAAAGTTGAAGAGCATTGAGGACCCAAAATTCCAAAAAGTTGTGCCAAATACGGCTAAGGTAATCTATGCCTGGGATAAGAAAATCCTTAATATTTCGAATAATACATACTTTTGCAAACAGTAAATTTATAGAAATGACCATATAATTGATATTCATGTCAACTCCGAAGTGCTGACTACTGGGCTGGTGATACCCTCGGGGACGAAACGTCCACCAGCCGTGGCATCGACCCGATGGTGTAAATAGTTATCAAAGGTACCAGGCTTATAATTTGATACGCCAACCCGTGTTTCGTCTACATAAGACGAATCAGTGACATTCAGATCAAAATAGTTAGAAAGCCAAACAAGTATAAAGTTGAAGAGCATTGAGGACTCAAAATTCCAAAAAATTGTGCCAAATACAGCTAAGGTAATCTATGCCTGGGATAAGAAAATCCTTAGTATTTCGAATAATACATACTTTTGCAAACAGTAAATTTATAAAAATGACCATATAATTGATATTCATGTCAACACCGAAGTGCTGACTACTGGGCTGGGTAAAAAAGGTCATTCAAGAGTAATTACTCTAAATGGATTTGATTGACTATTTCCTTTTCGTTGACTAACAAGGACATTTTATAGATGGTCAATAGGTAGATCTTGACATTCCTGTCAGATTTTCTCTTTAACAATTTACAAGATGGACAATACTTGCGTTTTACCCAATTTTCTATCTTAAACCTTGGCGACCATGTTGGTTAGCAGGCAAGATCATCAGACACATTTTTTTAAAACTTAGACCCTTTGTGGCAGGTGAGCCAAAAAGCTTTTAAAATTTGTATTTGTAGTTTCTTCACTAAGCCTATCTACCCTTTAGTCATAAGTGCACATAAAATTTGATAATTCTTACCTGATAAATATTCTAGAAATTATCGTCTTTTATATTTCAGAGGGTAGACCACAGGGATACCTTGTGTCATCATACCTTGTTTATAGATTCCTTATTTTACCAAAGTTTCTGACTGTCATGTCCATTGTCCTTGACTTCATTTTCATGGTTCAGTAACTGCTTAAAAAACTGTATATCTGTAGTTTTTAGTCATGTGAATTTCTCACTTATTATCAGTAAAATGAACTGTATATGGGATTCTTTCAAGTTGTACATGTCCCTCAGACATTGTTCACCTTACCTGAACCTCAATTCATGGATCAAGGTTAAAGTTTTGTAATAAAATCCGTTTGCTAGATATTTTAAGCAGTAGGTCAATTATATTTTGTGCATGGAATGATTGTATGGTGTACATGTCTGTCTGGCAGGTTTTATGTGACATTGACCATGGTTCATTCGTCAATGTTGAGTTGATAGAGTATTGTTTGTCTTCCAGATACCATTAAGCAGTAGGTCAAACATATTTGCTGTTGGGAAAGATCATAAGGTGTGCATGTCTATCTGGAAGGTCTCATCAAAACTTGTCCTCATTTTCATGGTTCATTGTTCAGTTTTGATGGGTTGGTCCTTTCTCAAATACTAGCTATTGGTCTATATATTGGTGTATTGGATAATTTTAAGGTATTCAAGTCTATCAGGAGGGTTTTATCTGACCTTGACCTCTTTCTCATGGTTCATTAGTCAATGTTAATTTGTTTGTGGTTTGACCTGTTTTTCAGATATAATAAGCCACAGGTCAACTATTTCGGAGTAGGTAACCACATGCAGTGTTTCGTATGCACAAAAATGGCAACCAAAACTCGTGCTTTTTGGTAAATTGTCTGCTTTCCTCTTGAGCTCACTGTTATCATATGATAAATTGTTGTGCAAAGTGATTTACCACATGACTGTTCACACTAAATTTTATTCAAGTCACTTACAGAGCAAGTTTTCTTAAACACTTCAACACAGTTGTCTGATGAGAAGGGTTCACACTTGTAGCTGATATACAAAATCTACATAGAAGTCAAAATGAATGAAAATATTAACTCCTTTATAGAATTAACAATGCCCCTTGATCTGGATTTTTGCTATTATCTTGAGAACTGTAATAGGGAGATTAAGGAAGCCTTTTGAATATTCAGATATGGGTTCATGGACCTCATAAAACATAACACCACAGTAATATTCTTTATAAGGTACTTTAAATTCAGAAATTAATGGGATGTTTTTAATAATGCGACAGTATTAGGTTTGCAATAATAAAACAACTCAAGAATGGTAAAATTGTTGCCACCAAATTTCGTACTTAATCTGTATTATGTAGTAATAAGCATTGTGTATAAGTTTCATATCATTTGGTCGAGGCACTAAAGTTAGAAAACGGAAAAAAAAATTTGCACTTGATCTTAGATTTGTGGTAATGAATATTGTGTATAGGTTTCATAATGTTTGGTTGGGGCAAACTTAAGTTACAGAATGGAAACTAAAAATTTTGTGATCTTTCGAGTTATAAAGGGGCATAACTCAATAATGGTTAAAGTGACACTACCCAAATTCAACTTGATCTGTGTTTTATCAGTGGAAGTCAAAATTAAACATTGCATTGTATAAAGCATTGAATGTAGTTGATTCAATTATAATCATGGACAAAGGAAGATAACTCCAATTTTAATAAAAATTACTTGATATTTAGAAGAAAATAAAAATTTTGCAATTTTTCCATTTATAAAGAGGCATAACTCTAGAACGGTTAAAGTGACGACACCAAAATTCAAACTTGATCTGTGTTTTGTGGTAATAGGCATTGTGTATAAGTTTCATAACATTTGGTTGAGGCAAACTAAAGTTAGAGAATGGAAACCAATTTTGGGACGTACGTACGTACAGACGGACAAGGGTAAAACTTAATGCCCCCTCCGCTACGGCGGGGGCATAAAAAACTTGCATTCATAATTTCAGTAGTGATTTTCTTCACCAAATTTTTCCTTTTGCATTAATTAAATCTCGCATTTTTACAAGTATTATCATTGATTTGCAATAATAAATGCACACATTAATTTCTGAATTTACAGTATTGACTTATTGTAAATTCTCAGTGTTTCGATAAATTTTTAGCCATGTATAAGCATCAGCCATTAACAAAGCAACAAAGTGAACTCCCCTGAATTTCAGAACCTCAGCCCCAGCTTGGCCTTATATATAAACAATAACACATTAGATCAAGTATATTTAATTGCAAGTAAGAAAATTCAAACACATTATTAAACAATATTTTAGCACATAAAATTGAAGATATAAACCTTTTATCATATTTTGTTTTTAATTTTTGTGCGTTATTGATTTCACATTAGCCTGAAAGAGCATATAAAATTTTGAAACACATTATCTCAAATCATACTTGTCTGACTAGATCTGTGTGAAAATAATGTTTTAAAGACCAATTTTTTTCCTTTTTTTATAAAAAAAATAAAACCAAAAACTCAAATACCTACAATAAAAATTTAGTGATCTTTATATTAACTTCACATTTGATGAAAAAATAAACATTGCCATTAGCATAATTTATAAATTGATAGAACTGAAAATTGTTAATATTAATGTAAATATACATCATTAAAGAAAAAAAAAATATCACAGCAAAGAATGTAAACGAAATATGATATAAATTTCAAAAGTTTTCATTATCAATATTATTACTTTATCTAAATAATTCTACATATTATAAGGACCTGTCTGTCCATCAGCACTTCTATGATGTATGTAAGTCAAAATTGCCTCAACTGATTTCAATAACTTTGATGCAGTGATTATATCTATAAAAGAAATGTCTCTTCATACTTTGAAAAAAAATTGTGGGAACAACACTTGTAATTCTACTATCAACTAAGTAACAACTCATAACTCACTGCATGTGAAAAATGGTACTAGCAGTGGTTTTAGTATTCTTTGCTAGATGCTGATAATGCTACTTCTTTGCGTTGAAGCACACAGATACAGTGTAATGTCAAGTTACAGTTTATTAATTTATGATTCATTATACAGTAATCATTTTTATTTTTCTGTTAGAAAGAAAAATGTAAAATAGATATAAAAATAATGTCATGGTAATCACTCCTTAGGCATACTGGAAAAGAGACGTAACTGTCCTCACAAAAATATTCTCACTAAATACGTTTTCATACTGGTTATAAAAATGAATGATTTATTACAAGAAATGCACAGCTTCAGGGGGAGAAAATTCCAAGAATGCAACCAAAAGTCGAAAAAAAACCATAAATAAACATTTTTAAAAATTAAAAAAATCAGCACTTGATGAAGTAAATAATTGAAAAAATATACAAATCAAACAGTCATGAAATAAAAATAAAAATCTGTATGTATTTATCTACAGGGTATACTTTATCTGGATGAGACACATATAGTTAATGCTTTAATGAGAGACTGTTTTCTTGCTTGAAAGACTCATTCATTATGGCAATATCTAAGAAGCAAACGTGTTAATCATTCATGATGAGAACCACTTATTATGAGAATCATTATCAATTGACATTTTTTTTTATTTATTCAGAAGCCATTCACCTATAAACCAGTTTCCTTGCAAGTGTCCAAGCGGTCAATTCATATTAATTATATCAAGAGCTTTAACAAATTTGTCTGGTATTGAAACCAAAATGGCCCAGGCCAAACATATTTAAATTTGGGGTAGAGGTCCTCAGATCAATGATCCCCACATCAATACTGATTTCAACATCATTCAATAGTTTCAAAAGCTCTCAACCTGACTGGTTGCAATAACAATTGATTCACAAATAAGTAATTTCTGTGTGACACTGTGTCACATATATTTGTTACTGAACACAAACATCACAAACTCTATAACACAAGCTTAGGTAATGCAATGATAAATGCAAGGTGTATTTACAAATATTCCATCATCCATTCATGTTACTGGGTCTAGCACTTGATATTGTATTGTTTGTAGTCATTGCAGCAAGCTCCCATCTGCCAAAAAATAATAATATTAAATGTATGCATGTTTTCTTCATTCATTATTCAACTTTACTGTTCTTTTTCTGTTTTGCTAATTCTCTATTTACAGTACTGTAATAATTGATTTGAAAGAAATTCTTTAAAAAATCTTTTAAAAAACAGTAGTTTACACGCTCATTTGTCTCACCTGCTGTGAAAGTGTTATCAAGAAGTCTGTCAGGTGCAATGAGTTTCCATCCAAAATATTTAAAATCTATCATGTATAATTGGTTCTGAGATACCTAATCTAAAACCTCACAAAATGAGGTAATTAAAGCCCATATGTCATACATAAAAGACAAATGCCTTTACAATAACGCCAATAAATAGCTGTACACCTATCATCTATAGATACTAAGGGAAAAAAATCTATTATTTACAATAATATGAGGTTAAGACTATATGCCATATACTCATAACAGCCATAACACACATCAAATATTGATGACCTCTCACAACCAATTCACATAACAAATATTTTTTATCTATCATGTTTATTAACAATGAAAAAGACCTCTTCCTGAAACTTCAACTGACAACTGGACCATGAATATGATATATCTGGCAGACAAAGTCTCTTCATTAACAATGGAAAAGACCTCTTCCTGAAAACTTCAACTGACAATTGGACCATGAAAATGATATATCTGGCAGACAAAGTCTCTTCATTAACAATGGAAAAGACCTCTTCCTGAAAACTTCAACTGACAACTGGACCATGAAAATATATCTGGCAGACAATCAGTTATGGTCCAGTTGTTAGTTGAAGTTTTCAGGAAGAGGTCTTTTCCATTTTTAATGAAGGTCTCTTCATTAACAATGGAAAAGACCTCTTCCTGAAAACTTTAACTAACAACTGGACCATGAAAATGATATATCTGGCAGACAAGGTCTCTTCATTAACAATGGAAAAGACCTGTTCCTGAAAACTTTAACTAACAACTGGACCATGAAAATGATATATCTGGCAGACAAAGTCTCTTCATTAATCATGGAAAAGACCTCTTCCTGAAAACTTCAACTAACAACTGGACCATGAAAATGATATATATGGCAGACAAAGTCTCTTCATTAACAATGGAAAAGGCCTCTTCCTGAAAACTTCAACTAACAACTGGACCATGAAAATGATATATATGGCAGACAAAGTCTCTTCATTAACAACCTATAAGTTTGAGTTAATCATCTTATCTTTTAAACCACCTAGCAATACAATTTAGATAACATTCAATCTGATTAACCATTTGCAAATAAAAGTTAACACTTTGATGAATTTTTTTTTGGTAGTACAAGCAAATTACTGGATATTCCTTAACTAATAATAATTTTTGCTTACAAAATGGAGCCTAAAATCTTATGAAACAAGTTTCTGGTGATTATAATGTTAATGAAATTATTGAACCTATAAAATTTAAATAAAATTCAACCAATCAACCATTTGCAAAAACAATGAACTGATTGAACCAATACAAGCATCTATCTATGTAAGCCTCAAATCTATGTAAAGCCTCAAATCTGTTTCCTATTTTATTTTGCATTGCAAATCTATGTCCCTTCTTTTCTCAAATATGTCCTATATATGTGTTGATGTCAGAATTACTAAAGGTCATTGAGGAGTGATTTCTGCTGTAGAAGACATCCATACTACTTTTTGTATTCAAATGAAATCTATATCAGTTGATGTCATTGCCTTGAAAGGTTACTGCATCTTGAACTATTTACATAGGAGCTTACAGTTTCTAACAATGAAAACATTGTAAAAACAAAACTTATACTTTGTATCTTTCAGTCAGAAATTAACCATATTATCAAGTCCTTATTTTTCACTTGTTTAAATTAAAGAAATAGCAGTGAATGCAGTCATAATACAAAAACTTGTTTATCTTACAATAATATATACGCATTTGGCAAAAATGTTGGTATATACAGATCTGAGAAAAGGACACAGACTTGAGGATTGACAAAGGTTCACAGATTTGAGTTTCATGACATCAAGGGACACAGATTTTAGGCTGGCCATAGATTTGACTTTTTCATATATACTAAAATAAGTCCTCCATGGACATTTTTTACATTTAGCATAAATTCATGACATATAATGGACAATAATCATTTCATCCTTTGATTGTTAATCAAAATTTTAGGCTGCTTATTTACTATGGGGTATTTGTGCTGAAGTTTACTGAATGTGATCTTGATATACTATCAACACAGAATCATGGAGCATGTGTATAACAAGTGAGATGATAGAGTGATGTTTATCTTTTTTTTTCTTTTATTTTCCATAGGTTCCCATTTGTAAATTAAACTTTGTCACAACAGTTGTTAATGATTTGGTGCGGTATCATTTTCTTTTCAGAATTGATAAGTACTATATTCTTTCCATGTTTGTTTACTTTTATTTTAATATGTATTTTCCCTTTTGAATTTGCGCTATGTGATTGCCAAATTTCTAGTGAGAGATGTCATGGTTAAAAGAACTGCATACAGAAAAGCTATCAGAAAAGAGTACAGGAAGACAGTAAACCAATAGCAGAACATTTATGAATATTTGTACACATGTTTTATATAATAAAAAACATGTTCCTCTTTTTGTTAAATTTGAAGGATCATATGACTTTAACGCAACTTTCAATACATTCATTCAATTTCATATCCATCACATTTTGGGAAGGACACAGGAGTTCATATTATAAACAAGGACATTTTTGTAAGTGACTGACAAAATTTGAATCACATGGAATTTTTGGGCTTTTGATTAGCACTCCTGCCAATAGTGACAGGCTGGATTAATGAAATTAAACCTGACATATTTTCTCCATGATGCTAATCAGCCCATACCCCACACCATTTCTAAAGTGAACCGACATGCCTATCACTTTTGCAAATGGAAAAAGTATGGAGTAAACTTTATATTACACACAGACTTATGACTCATTTTCCACCACCCCACCCCATCCCTGAATATACCAGAACACAACACCATCCATAAATTGAACCTGCACACAAGAGAAGAAGATCCATAATTATGTGCTTCCTGAGATATGAAAAGTAGGTCATTTAACTAATTTCTGGTCAACCTTAACTACTGGTAATCTCTTTAACCATTTCTGGACAGTTGGAATTAAAATTTGGTTTTCTGAGACTTTATTTAATGACTCTATCATTTCAGAAAATTGATACGGTCCTCTGGTTTTAATACATTTTCTTATGTAGAAAAATTTTGTCACTTACTGAAGAACCTGTGGTAAACAATCTGTGTTTATTTTGCTGTCAACAACTGCAATCTGACACAAGGTTTTCAATGTTGGTGCTACAAAATAAAATTGCTTTTTCAATAAAAATACAAATGTTTATATATAATTTGTGCAATTTGAAATTTGTTCCATATACAATGAAATGTGTCAACATTTATCTGTCTGCCCTACACCTTTATGACAATACATGAGTGTTGAGTTGTTGATTTCCATTTCATTATCTGTATCTAATGCCAAATTAACCCAGCTTAATTTTTCATAATAATAAAAACATTGCAAAAAATTATGAGTAGTCTATTTTTAGCTAAATTTTTGTGTGTTTATAGAGACAAGATGTGAAGAAATCTACGTTTTGAAAAAAATCAAGTGTCAAAATAAAAATTTCACATCATATACAAACCATATTTATACTTACCAAAATCTAATACATGGAGATCGGAGTGATCAGTCAAATCTGAATCATTGTTTTGATTAGGTATGGCAGGTTTCACAGATGGACTGCAATAAAATGTGATAGTATTAGCTTAAATCTGTCCTTATTGAGAATAATAACAGTGGTTAAGTATTGACACTGACTAATGGACTGATCTTCAGATGTGTTATGATTTTTTGGGGTGTTGTTTTAAAGAAAAAACTACTTCCCTATTTTATATTTTATTGTAAGAAGTAAATTCTAATAAGAATGTTACAGAGGCTATTTCTAAAATCTGACAGCCTTAAAAATAAAATTGTTCCCCTATAATTCATGTATAGCTATGGTAATTTCAAGCTCAAGCTGTTTCACCTGCGTAATTTTGATTGACCAGCTAAAATTTTAAATCAAAGTGTGAGGGGGTGAAGATTGCTTTCATTTGTGAACTTAAAATTAAATACATATGTATTGCATTGTGTTGTAAGAGCAAAGAAACTAGAGGCTCTCAAGAGCCTGTGTCGCTCACCTGACTCTACTTTGGTTTTAGAAATCATGTAAAGATAGATAAAAATCATAACAGATACCCAAATAATGATTGAGGCCAAATTTGGATTAATATTGGTCCCGTTATTAAATAAAAAATCCTGGTGGCCATCTTGAACAGTAAATCGGCAACAAAGTAGCAACACTTGGTCAGCACTTCATAAGGAACATTCATGCCATGTTTGGTTTCATTCCATTCAGTGGTACTCTAAAAGAAGACATTTGTATGTATTTCCCATAGGGTCCTATGTTAAACTAAGCCCCTCCCCCTAGTGGCCATCTTGGATGATGGATCGACTGCAAAGTAACAACACTTGGTCAGCACCTCATAAGGAACATTCATGCCATGTTTGGTTCCATTCCATTTAGTGGTTCTCTAAAAGAAGACAATTGTTTGTATTTCCCATAGGGTCCTATGTTAAACTAAGTCCCCCGCTGTCGGCCATCTTGGATGATGGACCGACCGCAAAGTAACAACACTTGGTCAGCACCTCATTAGGAACATTCATGCCATGTTTGGTTTCATTCCATTCAGTGGTTCTCTAAAAGAAGACACTTGTATGTATTTCCCATAGGTCCTATGTTAAACTAAGTCCCCCGCTGGCGGCCATCTTGGATGATGGACCGACTGCAAAGTAACAACACTTGGTCAACACCTCATAAGGAACATTCATGCCATGTTTGGTTCCATTCCATTCATAGGTTCTCTAAAAGAAGACATTTTGTATGTATTTCCCGTAGGGTCCTATGTTAAACTAAGTCACCCACTGGCAGCCATCTTGGATGATGGATCGGCTGCAAAGTAACAACACTTGGTCAGCACCTTATAAGGAACATTCATGCCATGTTTGGTTTCATTCCATTCACTGGTTCTCTAAGAGAAGACATTTGTATGTATTTCCCATAGGGTCCTATGTTAAATTAAGTCCCCCGCTGGCGGCCATCTTGGACGATGGATCGGCTACAAAGTAACAACACTTGGTCAGCATCTCATAAGGAACATTCATGCCATGTTTGGTTTCATTCCATTCAGTGGTTCTCTAAAAGAAGACATTTGTATGTATTTCCCATAGGTCCTATGTTAAACTAAGTCCCCCGCTGTCGGCCATCTTGGATGATGGACCGACTGCAAAGTAACAACACTTGGTCAGCACCTCATAAGGAACATTCATGCCATGCTTGGTTTCATTCCATTCAGTGGTTCTCTAAAAGAAGACATTTGTATGTATTTCCCATAGGGTCCTATGTTAAACTAAGTCCCCCGCTGACGGCCATCTTGGATGATGGATCGACTACAAAGTAACAACACTTGGTCAAAACCTCATAAGGAACATTCATGCCATGTTTGGTTTCATTCCATTCAGTGGTTCTCTAAAAGAAGACATTTGTATGCATTTCCCATAGGGTCCTATGTTAAACTAAGTCCCCCACTGGCGGCCATCTTGGATGATGGATCAGCTACAAAGTAACAACACATGGTCAGCATCTCATAAGGAACATTCATGCCATGCTTGGTTTCATTCCATTTAGTGGTTCTCTAAAAGAAGACATTTGTATGCATTTCCCATAGGTCCTATGTTAAACTAAGTCCCCTGCTGTCGGCCATCTTGGATGATGGACCGACTGCAAAGTAACAACACTTGGTCAGCACCTCATAAGGAACATTCATGCCATGTTTGGTTTCTTTCATTCAGTGGTTCTCTAAAAGAAGACATTTGTATGTATTTCCCATAGGGTCCTATGTTAAACTAAGTACCCCGCTGGCGGCCATCTTGGATGATGGATCGGCTACAAAGTAACAACATTTGGTCAGAACCTCATAAGGAACATTCATGCCATGTTTGGTTTCATTCCATTCAGTGGTTCTCTAAAAGAAGACATTTGTATGTATTTCCCATAGGGTCCTATGTTAAACTAAGTCCCCCGCTGGCGGCCATCTTGGATGATGGACCGACTGCAAAGTAACAACACTTGGTCAGCATCTCATAAGGAACATTCATGCCATGTTTGGTTCCATTCCATTCAGTGGTTCTCTAAAAGAAGACATTTGTATGTATTTCCCATAGAGTCCTATGTTAAACTAAGTCCCCCGCTGGCGGCCATCTTGGATGATGGATCGGCTACAAAGTAACAACACTTGGTCAGCACCTCATAAGGAACATTCATGCCATGTTTGGTTTCATTCCATTCAGTGGTTCTCTAAAAGAAGACATTTGTATGTATTTCCCATAGGGTCCTATGTTAAACTAAGTTCCCTCGATGGCGGCCATCTTGGATGATGGATCGGTTACAAAGTAACAACACATGGTCAGCACCTCATAAGGAACATTCATGCCATGTTTGGTTTCATTCCATTCAGTGGTTCTCTAAAAGAAGTCATTTGTATGCATTTCCCATAGGGTCCTATGTTAAACTAAGTCCCCCGCTGGCTGCCATCTTGGATCATGGATCGGCTACAAAGTAACAACACTTGGTCAGCACCTCATAAGGAACATTCATGCCATGTTTGGTTTCATTCCATTCAATGGTTCTCTAGGAGAAGTTCAAAATGTAAAAAGTTATCGCCGACAACGCCGGACGACGGACGCCAAGTTATGAGAAAAGCTCACTTGGCCCTTCGGGCCAGGTGAGATAAAAAGTAAAATAACAAAAATACCGAACTCCAAGGGAACAATTAACAATATTTTTAACCAAATTATCTACCTTTGTACATAATTGTAGCTAGAACTGATAGATTCATACACCATGCAGTATTTTCTTCAACTTGTGTAGTTTTTAATAAAATGATTTTCTTGACAAGTATGGTATATATACACAGACGCATACTTTTGTAAATTGAGTATTAGAGTATACATAATTAATAATTTGTCTACTACATACTGGCATAGACAAGATCTAAAGAATGTCGAGATAAAAAAGATGGTAGCTTTTGTACTGCACGAAAAAAACTTCTTGATCAGGCACAGAAGTCTTTGTATGCTCTGTACCGAAAAATAAATAAATGTGGATAGTGTCCACATGTGGACACAGATGATGCCCCCGCTTGCATATCATATAGTTATAAAGGGACATAACTGAAGAAAGGTAAAAATGACGCTACACAAATTTGAACTTGATCTGAGTTTTGTGGTAATAAGCATTGTGTGTAAGTCTCATAACATTTGGTTGAGGCTAACTTAAGTAGAGAACAGAAACTAAAAATTCAGCAATTTTTCTATTTGTAAACACGCATAACTCTAGAACGATTGTGTATAAGTTTCATATCATTTGGTTGAGGCAAACTAAAGTTAGAAACGGAAACAAAAAATTTGAACTTGATCTTAGTTTTGTAGTAATGAATATTGTGTATAGGTTTCATAATGTTTGGTTGGGGCAAACTTAAGTTACAGAATGGAAACTAAAAATTTTGCAACCTTTCGATTTATAAAGGGGCATAACTAAATAATGGTTAAAGTGACACTACCCAAATTCAACTTGATCTGTGTTTTATCAGTGGAAGTCAAAATTAAACATTGCATTGTATAAAGCATTGATTGTAAGTGCTTCAACTATAATCATGGACAAAGGAAGATAACTCCAATTTTAAAAATAACTTGATATTTAGAAGAAAATAAAAATTTTGCAATTTTTCCATTTATAAAAGGGGCATAACTCTAGAACGGTTAAAGTGACGCCACCAAAATTCAAACTTGATCTGTGTTTTGTGGTAATAAGCATTGTGTATAAGTTTCATAACATTTGGTTGAGGCAAATTTAAGTTAGAGAACGGAAACTAAAAATTTAGCAATTTTTCCATTTATAAAGGGGCATAACTCTAGAACGGTTAAAGTGACGCCACCAAAATTCAAACTTGATCTGTGTTTTGTGGTAATTAGTATTGTCTATAAGTTTTATAACAATTGGTTGAGGCAAACTCAAGTTAGAGAGCGGAAACCAATTTTGGGACAGACGGACAAGGGTAAAACTTAATGCCCCCACCGCTACGGCGGGGGCATAAAAATATATGTATTCCCGTTGATTTGCAGCTAAAACTTTTTGACTCATTAGTTAGTCCTGTATTGTTATATGCTTCAGAGGTATGGGGATTTGAAAGTAAAGATAGCATTGAGAAAATACACCTTCAATTTTGTAAAAACATTTTGAAATTAAGAAGCAGTACACCAAATTATATGGTGTATGGGGAACTCGGAAGATTCCCTTTGGAAACTATTGTTAAACGTAAAATGGTGTTGTTTTGGAATAGTTTACTATTCAACAAGTTATCTTCCATTATGTATAAATTAATGCTCAAATTACATTTTCAATACCCCACAAAATTTAAATGGATTACGTACGTTAAATCCATATTTGACGAAAATGGAATTAGTTTTATTTGGCAAGATCAACTTCCATTGGATAAACTGGGTTTAAAGAACATAATTTCACGACAACTGAATGATCAATTTATCCAACATTGGTTTTCCCAAATGAATAACTCTTCAAGAGGTGCATTTTTATGCAGAATACAAACAGGAATTTCGTTTGGAAACCTATTTAATAAAGTTGAAGCAGTCTGACAGGATTTATATAGCAAAACTCAGATGCTCAAATTTAAAATTTCCTGTAGAAACTGGAAGATGGTCTGGAATACCAAAAAATGAGCAAATTTGTCATCTCTGTGGAAATGGAATAGGAGATGAATTTCATTATCTATTCAAATGTCAAAAACAGGAAATAAAACTGCTTAGAAATAAATATATACCACAATATTATACTGCAAATCCAACGGAGTACAAATTAAAACAGATTTTAATATTTTATCATGTAGAACTTTACACAAGAGTGCACACACTGAAATGTCTCGCCTTCTTTACTAATCATTGATATTATGTTGATAGTCCTAAATATAAAGCTTTATTACAACTGTCACATAAACTTAACATTAACCAAGTAAACTAAACATTGACCAATGAACCATGAAAATGAGGTCAAGGTCAGATGAACCATGCTAGGCAGGCATGTACAGCTAACAATTCTTCCATACAACAAATATAGTTGACCTATTGCAGGGCCTAATCTAGGATTTTGAAGAGGGAGAAGTGACTTCTCCTTCCATGAGAGAGAAGGGAGAAGTGGTCAACTTCTTGGAGAAGTGAGATTCCATTACCGTTTCGGTTGCATCGTGTTTTCAAGCTTATCACTAAGAAATTGTTTTATATTCAATAAAAGATGTACTTGCAGTTTTTTCATATGTTATTGTACACAATGTATATATAGAAAGTTCTTAATAAAAAGGTTAGACAATATATAGTTGTTATTTATTTATTGATACCATAATGTGTTCTAAATAAAATTTGTTGATTGGGACATGAGGGAGTAGCCTAGTAATATTATCAAGATTATGATGCATTAAATTCATATGCATCTGCCTCAATTTATTTTTAAAACTCCAGAAAAATATGATGAATTTCACATGACTGGGAATTTAATTTATATCACCACTTGTCATTGTTTTGTAAAACATTATTGAATGTCCAGGACATTTATGTTAGTTGTAGTAAATTGAGATTATCGTTAAAGATTGTAAGTCTATAAATGAAAATATCTTTCAATCTCAAGTTAATTATCCAATAAAGAGCTAATTTCTATCATTTTTTAAAAATATCATCCATATCAACGAAGTGGTCATGAGAAAAAATCCACTGCTGATCACAATCTGGTCGAGTGTCGTACGTTTGCAATCACATTATCCATCAGCTGTCTTTCTACCTTTTATATGTCAATTTTTATTCAATGAATATAATAAATCTACCGTTAATTTCCACCCTTTACCTACCGAATAGTAAAATTGATCGACTCGTGTAGGTAATAAAACAAATCAGCTGAGTGATTACGCAACATCCTCAGATGAAAATCATCGTAAAACGATAACTTAAACAGACTGTCAGTTTTCCGTTTGAACAGTTTTGAAAGTTATATCCGAGGATGTTCAAAGTCGCCGTTGTATTTATTTAATTTGATCGTTTACAGTATTAGTCCTGGGTCGTTTCGAAAATCTCGATTTTCCTAGTCAGCCGCCATTTTTTTACCTGTGAGACTTGTCAATCACAAGTTGTCTCCCTTTTACAGATTTTGATAGCGATTTGACTTTGCTATGAAGTCAGTCGGCCGGCGAGATTTAGCGATGCCTGCCTATTGCTTATAGTTTAAGAAAAACAGACCAAAACACAAAAACTTAACACTGAGCAATGGACCTTGAAAATGAGGTCAAGGTCAAATAAAACCTGCATGACTGACATATAGATCATAAAATATTTCCATACACCAAATATAGTTGAACTATTGCATATAGTATTAGAAAAAAAGACCAAAACTCAAAAACTCAACTTTGACCACTGAACCATGAAAATGAGGTCAAGGTCAGATGACACCTGCCAGCTAGACATGTACACCTTACAATCATTCCATACACCAAATATAGTAGACCTATTGCATACAGTATAAGAAAAACAGACCAAAACACAAAAACTTAACTATAACCACTGAACCATGAAAATGAGGTCAAGGTCAGATGACACCTGCCAGTTGGATATGTACACCTTACAGTCCTTCCATACACCGAATATACTAGACCTATTGCTTATAGTATCTGAGATATGGACTTGACCACCAAAACTTAACCTTGTTCACTGATCCACAAAATGAGGTCGAGGTCAAGTGAAAACTGTCTGACGGGCAAAAAGGGTCTGAGGACCTTGCAAGGTATGCACATACCAAATATAGTTATCCTATTACTCATAATAAGAGAGAATTTAACATTACAAAAAATCTTAACTTTTTTTTCAAGTAGTCACTGAACCATGAAAATGAGGTCAAGGACATTGGACATGTGACTGACGGAAACTTTGTAACATGAGGCATCCATATACAAAGTATGAAGCATCCAGATCTTCCACCTTCTAAAATATAAAGCTTTTAAGAAGTTAGCTAACGCCGCCGCCGGATCACTATCCCTATGTCGAGCTTTCTGCGGTAAAAATTAACAGGCTCGACAAAAAACTTAGCAATATTTTTGAAAATACTTACACGATACTTATGATTTATGTTTGTCTTTTTAGAGTTGAATGTTATGGTAATTTGTAAATTAACATTTTGCTGTATTTTACCGTGCATGCATTATTATGTTTAGTGTAAATGTATTGAGTATAAAAATATGTTAATGTGTATATATGATGTCCTCTTGTGCACATATGTGTCTGAGGTTTAATAATAAAGTATTGTCTATTGTCTATTGAAAAATATTTAAACAATCAATGACTAAATTGATTGGATTGACCTTTGTGTAATATTTACCCCCAAAATAGTGAGGTAGCTTACTAGAATTGATCTCTTACAAAACTGGAAAAGTGATTAGTCCTAATGATCTCAATTTTGTTATGATTGTTCAAATGATGTTTTGAAATTGCTAATAATAGTCTCATCCAGTACATATTACCTTTTCAGATATGTTGAGTTAAATTCAACCCTTTAAAACATTGTTATACTATACTCAGCCCTTTCAGAGCATTACTCTCCCTAGATGTCAAAAGATTTCAAAGAAATGCCATGGAATAGTAGATCATATCAATTATAGAAAAAAACCAAATGCTAGTCAAAATGTGCAGGGGAAATAATTGGATCTAAGGATTTACCTGTATTTGAGTCATCATATGATATTGACATTGTAAGCACAACTCCTTAATACAATGTATATACATGTGTACCTTATAATTAGCTGTAAAAGAATCATTGTTTCTTTTAAGTTTCAAAATAATTTAAATATATCATACCTAGTACCACCAAACAGAAAGACTTTGGTTCCTATCACACAACAACATTGTCGCCTCCGAGCACATGGACCTTTACCCTTTACTTTCACCATTGACCAATGTAAATGCACTATAAATATTAAATGAAATACAATACCATTTATAAAGCAAATCAATGTTCATTTATTACACTAAACTTAATATTCTTTAAATAATCACTATTCTGTGGTTATATGAATCATGTATATGTTTCAATAACCTGTACTATTTTAGCTATGCTAATTTTATAATTCAAACAATTTGTAAATTTGCTTCAATAAAAGATTACAGATCTTGGTTGTAACACCCATCTAAATTCCCATTCATCCATAAGTTTGCTGGACATTTACATAAGTTAACTCACCAGGATCAAATCTAAGAACATCTCTGAAGTGGTAGTCAAATTTGCCATTGTAGCCACCAAATATATACAGGTAACCCTTGTACACAACTGTAAGATACATGATAAGTATAAAAAAAAACATGTCATAAATGTTTACTTATCTTTATATATATATGATAGTGAAAGGAAATTTGAGATGTTTGAAAATTGCTTTTTGCAAAAAGTAAACAATAGTAAATAAGCAAAACTGTGAGTAACTGCACACTAATGATATCCTTGCTTTTAGAAGATTGGTAAACAGGAAGTTGATAAGTGATGAACCTGAAAAAGCTTCACACAGAATAGCAAATTCACATGAAGACTGAGAAAAATGTGACTGAGTTTCATGAGACAAGGGATATACAGACAGATAGAAATATGGACAGATGGACAAACAAAGGTGTAACAACCAGCCATTGGCAAGACTATCCCTTAAAGGGAAGACTTAGAGTGCACCTTGTAATGGTCATTTTTTAAACACCAAATATTTTGGATGTTAAGTGAAGAACTCAGTTCAGGTAGAGTTCATGCAGCTAGCTAGATCACTAGGGCCTACACAAATCATGAATGATTGATTGTCGCTTGTGTAATTTCCAGTCTAAACTTATTTCATGTTTCAGCATATACTGCAATTTACAAGTACAAGTTGTAAAATGTCTGCTTTAAACATGTTATATAAACTTACAATAAATAAGTGTTCTAGTAATCAAAGAAAACCCTTTCTGCAGCTACCATTATACTATGGCTTGTTTTGTAGTAGCAAAACTTTCCACAGTAAAAAGGTATACCTTTTCAAAGATAAATTCAAACCTTGACAGCCATTGACTGGAAGTTTTAAAAAATTTGGTCTGTACTTAAATTTTTTTTTATGTCAAAACATAAAAAAATCATTATCATATGAAAGGATGAATGAACATTTAGTCACCTATGTACATTTATTCCAATCTCTGTTGAGCAAGAGTATAAAGAAAAATTAGCAGTTAGATATATGTATATATGACAGTGCCACCTTTCTGTCCCCTTGCATTTAAGAATCACAAATAATATACTTCAGATGTTGCCAAGACATTATACTGTCAGATATTAGTAATTATTGATACATTTCAAGTGTTTTATATATTTACTTTATTGCATTTTAGGGAAAACTGTAATATTTTGAGTTCTTAATATCTAGATATGTGCAACAACGTACCAAAAATTATATTTTGCCACAATATCAACTTTTAAATTTTTTGTCATGATCATCCCTGATGAAGGTTTTCCAGAATCATGTGTCATGCACAATAAAATTATGTGTTTACAGTAATACTTACAAGCAGAATGACTTCTTCGTCCAATAGGTAATACACCAGTGGTTTCTGGTTCTATCCAAGTTCTATTTAAAGTGTCAAAAATTTGTAATTTGTTACAATAAATCTCATTGTTAGTATAAATATTGCCTCCATGATCACTTCTACCACCAAAAATATACATCAGATGTCCAATTCCAGTAGCAGTGTGAAAATCCCTCCAACGTGCTGGTTCACCCTAGAAATAAACCATACAATTATGCCTGTTATTTAAAAGTATTTGGAAAGGCCTCAGAGTATGCAATTAGCTATTATTATGCTGTTGATACTAATGAATTGTAGAATGCCCTATTGAAGTTTTTGGACACTTATTTGAAAAGATCTAGATGTTCTATGCAAACCAACAATCAAATGATCAATCTATGCAACCAAAAGTTCATTACATGGTGTTCTCTTAATACAATTGTGTGTTGCTTTTCAAGATAAAAAACAAAAATTTTGAAAGAATTTATGTTGAATTAACTATATGATCTGCAATGTATTTAATAGGTACCAATATTATCAACAAAAAACCCAACCTAAAAATCCCAATTTTAATTAATTAAGGGGCATAACTCTTTAAAAGTAAATGTAAATCATGTCAAAATTGAACTTGATCTGTATTTTATGGTCTTTCTCATTATGTTTAAATTTCAAAATATTTGGTCTAGAAGTACTTTGTTATCTAGAAACCAAAAGTGTGATTGATGAAGGAATTGTCTGACAAACATATCCCTGCCTCATTGAGGCGGTTATCTAATAAAATAAAATATCAAAGAAGTTCTAATGTTATTCTGAAAATTGGATGGTTCAAATATAAAATAAGTTTACAGTATTTGTCTATAGCTTATGAATACATTTCATTAGGCTTTGTAATTGACTAACTCATGTTTCATGTTCTGAGAATAATCAATTCCCCAATGCTTGTAAACAAAAAGGTTGTACTGGAACCTACAATAACTAAAATACTCCTATAATCAGAAAACATTTAAATGCTTCCTTAGATTTAAAAAAAAATGATAGACTGTATAATTGTGAAAACAGTATATACAAAATATCCTAAAACAACCTATAAACTTTACGTATACTTACATTTGAAGGGACAATCAGTGACCAAGAAAAAGTGGAAAAATCTAAAGCATAAATCTCATTTGAAAATCTGTCTGTCTGGAAAAAGGAAATAGATGAAAAATTAATTGATTAATATATCAATCATTTCTGACTGTTCTCATCATTTTAGATTATGTTTCCTGAAATTTAAAAAATAAGCTAGCTGAAATATGCCAATTGATACAATGCAGTGCTGTGTAATATAAAATAGTCTTGCCATCCAATTTGAGTGATTGATTTATCTTCTTAAGGATGTTGACAGATAGGTACACGAGGTTTAAAAATGTATGACTTGGATATGTAAACTCGTATCTTAAATAAATTTTATAAGAAATTTGTTCTAAAGATTGTTAATATGGTTATCAAACATGTTCACTACCAGCTCAGTAAGCAGTTGTAAATATAAAAAGAACATCACGATAAAAAGAATATGTGTCCATAATATGTCCAATTTCGGAGAACTGTGAAATTAGGGTCAAAAGTTCACATCACAAGTTTTAAGTTGATGTGACCATATCTTTTTGATAAAATACCTTAACAAAAAAACTTTAACTTTAGAATGTACTTATTTCCCACTATCACATTTCTATGTTCAGTGAACTATGTAAAAACCATAATTTGGTATATACAAATTATAAAAACGTTTACATCATTATGAACATATGTACTGAGTTTCAAGCTGATGAGACGATGTGACCACACCTTCATGGTAAACTACCTTAACCAAAACATTCAACCTGATTGAACAAAATAATGGGCTAGGAATGGATGAAAACACAGACGAACAATCAATCAGCAGGACTGTCAAACAGACAGATAAACAGACCAGAAGACCAGAAAACGCAATGCCCCCTACTATTGTAGGCTGGCATAAAAATACAAAGTTTGAGATTTGATTTTCTCTAATCTTTATTTATTTTGGTCAATTCCATTATGAAATGACCCTTTAATAAGTTGTCCTCTTTAAAGTGACTTTTTTACTATCTATTATGTTCTATTTAATCATCTCTATATAGTCTTATAATAAGCCCATGTTGTACAATTTCTTCAACCAACCATAGTACCTTTTTGAAGGACAAATACAAGAATATATCACATTAATTGTATCTAAATTGGTCAAACATGAGATTAAATTATTAAAATACAGATGCAATCAGCCAGGGTTATTTTTAGAAAATTTTGGATATGCTATAAACATCTTAGTCCAACCCAGGGGTGTGGTAATATCAAAATTCTTCACTTGTCCATATTGTTGACAGGAAACAATGTGCTAAAAGTATTACCTCTTCTTCATATCCTCCAAAAACATACATCTTATGATTAATAACACATGCAGAATGACCATCTCTGGCATTTGGAATAGGACCACACACATCTGGCCTAAACCATGCATGTGTATCTGTAATTAAAAAAAAAACAACATTAGAAATAATAACATCTACATTTTAGGGTTTATCAAAAATAATAACATGAAATCTCTATTCAAACTGTAAGAGCTCACTAAGCTTGGTAAAAGATCTCTTATCAGGGCTTTTCCATAATGATTTTTGCAGAGTTCTTTGAATTAAAGTGTTAATCTTTGCTGCATATCAGTCGATTCCATTAGAAATGTTTCCCTGAGCTTCTCTGATCTAGCTGCATACATATTCAGATAATTGGCTTATTCCAGAGAAGTATACAGCCAATAAAAAAATGATATGAAATTGGTACTCCTGAAATTTATTAGCAACATTTTAAATCAATTTTACACAAAGATCCTATGGTCTGCTGTACTTTTCGTTTGCTACTTTAGGAGGCAAATGATAGCATTATATGAAGATGTTGTTTTCATTTCAATTACATTTTTTATAACTACTTACCAGAACGTTTTGTTGTGAATTTATAATTAAAAGCGTCCTTGCTAAAACGAGACCAACATTGAAAAGATCAAGATTTCTTGGTTTACTGGGAAGGTTATATTTTGTCACTAGATTTCACACTGTTAACACCTAAATTATGCAAAACATTCAAAGTCAATGAACCATCACTAAAGGTGCAGGACAAAATAGCCTCCTAGGAAATGAGAAATGCCAAAGCTAATACATCTCCATACCAAGTATGATTGACTTTTCATAAGTGGTTCAATCTAAACTGACATATAAAACACACAACTTGGTTGATGGGGCTTTTATTAGTTTTAAATTAATGCATTCAAAGACTACAATGTAAATTATTCTTTAACAGCCCTGAGGGAAGTATCCAAATCACATAAATGAAAGAGTAGTTGTACTCATATTTTAATAAATCTTGTATATATTTGTCAAATATCTTAATAATGTTAATGATGAAAATTATATTTTCTTGACATATCTCCTAAACTTCTTCATATTCTTTTAATAATGCACTCAACAAACATGGGAAGCACAAGATTTAACATCCTTATTTAAGTGAGCTTACTTCATTTATGTCCAAATTTAAGATTTTTATGTATTCTTACTGCATATGTATTTCTACCCATCATAATTTTCAGTGAAGTGATCATCTCTTTAATTTCTTGTTGAATGTATGAAAATAGACCTTCAGTTTTTGATGTACAGATCTGAATTTCAGACCCCACATGAGATCTGTAAAACAGACTATCCAATCCACTTTATCTTGTATGCATCTAACATAAACAGCAGTAGTTGTCCTTTTCTAGGTTTGGACTTTTCAATCTCTAAAGGAAAACTCCATACTAAAATTTACGACAAAAGAGATGACTTTTCATTGCCTATTGTTAATTTTCCTTTTTTAGACGGCGATGTTCCTTTGGCTCCATCATACGGTGTTTTTATATCCCAATTCGTTCTTTATGCCTGTGTGTGTAGTGATGTCATAGATTTTAACAAATGTAATCAATGCATCACTGGTAAATTATTAAGTCAGGGATTTCGTTACCATTAATTACGTAAAACTTTTACTAAACTCTTTCATAGATACAAAGATTTGATTAGTAAATTTGGCTGTACCTGTAGAAAACTGATTAAAAACGGTATTTCACATCCTAAATTTTACGGTAATATTGTACTTAAAATGCGGAAATCACTTTGTGATCTGTGAAAACTCATCGAACCTTAAAACAAACTTATTAGTAAAGGTTATCTTACCAATGTTGTAATTAGATCTTTGAATATAGTTTACATTGGCACTAATATAGATTTTGTCATCAGCAAATTAAAACATAACTAAATTTGTATTTTTTTCAAACGGGATGTATAAAGACACACCCACGTTCATTTTGATCTATAAAGAGGTTAACCTTCTTACTATCCTACTGCCTGTCGATACATTTATTTTTGGCATTGCACAAGTCATGTCTTCTTTGACTGTCCATGACATTAAAATACTAAATCCTTGGGATGTGTTTTAGTTGATTTTAGTCTCAGATGCATGATTTTTTATTATTAATTGTTTTTGGCTTTTAACTAGCTGTCAGTAACTGCGAGTACTCTCAAATCGTACTTTCTTGTTTATTTGACCTGTTGATACTAATTGTAATGCTTTTTTGTTATTTAATGTTTACTTAATCAGGGTTATATCTGGTCTATATACCAGCTTTGATAAGTGTTTGGTATTACTATAAATTTTCACTTCTTTGTACTATGAACATCAAAATTATTTATTTTGTAAAAATATTTCCTTTCTCCATTTGAACTGTACACGTATACCTAACAACAAAATTATTTTCATTTACCTGTGTTTAAAGTAACTGTAAATGGCTGATATTTTTGTTCAAGCATATTGTTTTTCTTAAATTGTTTAACATTTCACAGTGGTATAACATGTTACTTTAATTATTCTTCCCTAAGTTTATTTATTTTGTATTAACATTGTATCATAGATCAAATTTATTTCAGTGTATGTTCACTGGTGTAATATGTCCTTGATTGAGTTAAGCCATTTCAATTGATATTTTATAGTGTGTCTTTCTATGTGATAATGTTACACTATTGTTTCAGATAAGGGTGAAGGTTTGGTACAATTAAAACGTTTAAACCCGCTGCAATTGTTTGTACCTGTCCTAAGTCAGGAATCTGATGTTCAGTAGTTGTCGTTTGTTGATGTGGTTCATTAGTGTTTCTCGTTTTTTATATAGATTAGACCATTGGTTTTCCCGTTTGAATGGTTTTACACTAGTAATTTTTGGGGCCCTTTATAGCTTGCTGTTCGGTATGAGCCAAGGCTCCTTGTTGAAGACCATACTTTGACCTATAATGGTTTTTTTTATTTTATAAATTTTGACTTGGATGGAGAGTTGTCTCATTGGCACTCATACCACATCTTCTTATATCTATTTACCACATGACCTTTTTTGTTTAATTCATTTATACTTACTGCTATTAAATCCATACAGAATATTACAAGCTCCATCTTTATCATTCCTCCCTCCCCAGATGTAAGCATTCTCGTTATAAGCTACAGCAGTATGACCATATCGCTGGTATGGAATTGATGTTAAATTAGCTGGTTCTTCCAATTGTATTAATCTCCATCTCAAGGAAACTTAAAAATGCAGAAAATTATGAATATTTACATATCTAACTTTTGTTAGTTACTGTGAAATTTTGAACCAAATGAAATAAAAGAACCGAGTGCCAATCCACTCCACAAATTTTATCTGTTCAAGGACAGTATCTAAACAAAAAATAATTTTCTTTTGGTTCTTTTAAACTTTTTATTTCGTATGGTTGGCATTTTTCATGACCTTGCTATTAAATATAAGCCTTTGATATAAACTTCATAAAAGTTTGACAAGAAATGTAGGTGTGGGAGTGCTAACAATGCAATGTTCAACATAAATTACACTTCAAAGAGACATAACTCCCATGTCCATTTGTCAGTCATGTCACATCCAATTAATTTCTGCATTTAAAGTAATAAATACAAAGATCTTTGGAAATTTTTTTCTGTACTTTCATATGTGTACATTAGTTGCTCTTAGTATATTAATCAGCAGTTGTAGAAACATTTGCAACCTTTATCAATACATGAGTTTTAATTTAGGTGCAGATTACACAAAACATTTCAATTATAAGCCTGGTATCTTTGATGAGATTATTTTTTTTTAACATTTATTTCATCAATAAATCTGCTTAGTATTTTGGCTTTTTTACCATCAACTTTCGATACTTGAAATAACTTATTAATTTCATTTATTTCTATTCTCTAAGTCACCTTTACCAAATAGTAATATTAAGTATGTAAAATCACAGTTCCTTTTATTGGTTCCATACTGTACTCAGAATCATAATATTCCATGAATACTTACATCAGCTCTTTTATTTGTATTTTACAACAAATAATCAAAAAATAATTGATAGATTTAATAGCCATTTAACACCAAGCTTCATAATTAAATAAAATGTTTAAAATGAACTTGATAAAACCATACCTGTATCCAACAAGTGGACATCCATAGGTGTAGTGGTTTCATAGTTTTCTCCTGTACAGTACCCCCCAAAACTGTAAATTCTGTCACTAATAGCAACAGCTGCATGGTTAACCCGTTTAGGTCCACCTTCCAATTCAACAGTCCAACGTAACATTTCCTACCACTGAAATATTTATTGATTACAAATTACTATAACATGGCCTTTTCAATAGTAGTCATGGTACCAGTCAAAGACTCCCATTTCAAGCCCAAGAGCTTTAATTCCAGTGCTTACATTAAGGGTCAAAAAGCTTAAATGATATGTCAAGCTGACGAGTTCTACAGTAAATAGCAGTAATCAAAGTGTACAGAATAATATACATGTAGTCAGAATAAGTTCAAATCATATCTAGATATAATGTGGACAAAAAAATGCTGATATAGCACTATTGCAGACAGTTGCATTTACTGCAGTACTTTAGAAAGATAAGCATTTTTTCAGTGGATAGAATAAGCTAAATGTGAGTCAAAGACAGTCATGACAGTAAGTCCCTTATTATTCACATTTTAATCAAATAATGTCTGAAGTTTCCAGCTTAAAGAATATGAAATTATTGAACAAGAACAAATTTCCAATTCATAATTTTTTTAATAAATTAAATAAACAAGAGGCTGTCAGAGTGACAGCAAACCAGATTTTCCTGCAGAGGTCGAACCCTGAACAGTTGAGCAAGTATGGACACTACATTTAAGCTTAAAACAGCACTGAATTTGGATTGTGACTGAATATTTGACACAGCATAGGTTTGTGACACAAAATGAATGTGGTTTAAGAACTGAAATACTTGAAATTGGACATTTAAATACCTATTATGGTCCAATATCAAAAATCTAAGTACATATTAGAATCAGCATATCAAAGAACCCCAAGAATTCAATTTTTGATGAAATCAGACAAAAGTTTAATTTAAGACCCTTTGGACCTCAATGTGGACCAATTTGATAAAGGAGCCCACAATCCAAAATCTCTCAATACATGGTTAGATTCAGCATTTCAAAGAACCCCATCAATAATTTTTTTGTTGAATCAAACAAAGTTTAATTTTGGACCCTGATTTGGACCAACTTGAAAACTGGGCCCAAAAATCTAATATTTAAATACAGGTTTAGATTCAGCATTTGAAAGAACCCTTTATATATTTAATTTATGTTGAAATGAAACACAGGTTAATTTTATCCATAATATTTTCTGTGCAAAGGGAAATAACTCAAACTGGATATGATGCATTTTTTCAAATTATAATCAATAATATAATAACAACAACCAGTGATGACTAAGTTCTCTAAAATTAGATATGATTTAACACTCAAACATTGTTAGAATCAGCATATCAAAGAACCAAAGAATTCAATTTTTGATGAAATTAATCAAAAGTGTAATTTAGGACCCTTTGGACCTCAATGTGGTATTATCTTATTAATAATGGAAAGAAATATAGGTTTAGATTAAGCATTTCAAAGAACCCTATATATATTCAATTCATGTTGAAATCAAACACAGTTTAATTTTGGACCCCAATTTGGACCAACTTGAAAAGTGGGCCCAAAATCAGAAATCTAAATATATGTTTATTAATAGACAATATAAGCTTAGTTTTTAAAGGAGTTTACTTCATAAAAAAAAAAATATATAGCATTCAGAAAATTAGTTTTTACAGAATAACAAACAAACTTGCCACAAAATTTTACAAACAATTTACCAAAGAAAAGAAGAAAAAAATCCAAAATTTTATTTATCATTAATACAATGTCATTTCAAAATCTATAAAACTTATCAGTAACAAGAAATAATTGTAACAGAATGCTGTTACAAAGTCTCCCAAACAAAGCTCCAATAATTCGTCATTCCCATTGTCGCTTGACATTGGGCAATGTCCAGTACAAATTGGTTTATGATATGCATTAGTGACACCTATGGATATACCCTGTATGTCATTCAAATCTTCTTGAAATTACGAACAGGAATTTATATGGATAAGGGGTGGAGATCTCGACCGTTTACAAGTTCTCAAAAGGGGGGGTGATCCCCAGGGGACTCTCCCTTTATTTCATATGATTTGTTTTTTTGTCCCGTACAAGAATATATATGGTTTAGGGGTGGGGATCTCAACCGTTTACAAGTTCTTAAACAGGAGGGGGGTGGGGTGACCCCAGGGGACTCACCTTATATTTCATTTGATTTGTTTTATGGTCCCATACAAGAATATATATGGTTTCGGCATAGGGATCTTGATCGTTTACAAGTTTTCAAAAAAAAGGGGGGTGGGGGTGACCCCAGGGGACTCGCCTTTTATTTCATTTGATTTGTTTTGTTGTCCCATACAAAGAATATATATGGTTCAGGGGTGGGGATCTCGACCGTTTTCAAGTTCTCAAACAGGAGGGGGTGGGGTGACCCAAGGGGACTCGCCTTTTATTTTATTTGATTTGTTTTGTTGTCACATACAAGAATATACATGTATATGGTTTCGGGGTGGGGATCTTGACCGTTTACAAGTTTTCAAAAAGAAGGGGTTTGGGGGTTACACCAGAGGACATCCCTTCCCCTAAATTTCATTTGATTTGTTTTATTGTCCCATGCAAGAATATATATGGTTTAGGGGTGGGGATCTCAATAGTTTACAAGTTCTTAAACAGGAAGAAGGTGGGAGTAACCCCAGGGGACTAGCCTTTTATTTCATTTGATTTGTTTTATTGTAACATATAAGAACATATATGGTTTCAGGGTGGGGATCTTGACCATTTACAAGTTATCAGAAAGAAGGGGGTGGTAGTTACCCCAATGGACTTCCCCTATATTTCCCCCTCAACTACAGCGCAGGCATAAAAGTGTGGCAAACTGATTTGGCAAACTGAAGGACAAACAGACAGAGAGACAGACAGACAGACACACAGCCTACCAAAAAAGTTTCAAACAATTTACCAATGATATTTCGCCAATAACTCAAATTTATTTCCATGAACCAGTAACAAAACACCAAAACAATTCTCTAAAATTAGATATGACTTAACCACTCATAAATCTCTAAAATTAGATATGATTTCATATCTATCAATTAAACACATCACTTTTCAAAACAAATAACTCAAACTTATTTACATAAACCAATAATAAACCAGTAAAATACTTCTCTAAAATCAGATATCATGTTATATCTATTTCCATATTATAATCAAATTTAATTAATAGTTGCTAATATTGTTTCTTTCATGTGTCAATAAAATGCTCCGCAGGGCGCAGCTTGATACGACCGCAGAGGTCGAACCCTGAACAGTTGGGGCAAGTATGGACACAACATTCAAGCTTGATACAGCTCTGAATTTGGATTGTGATTAAATATTTGACACAGCATAGGTTTCTGACACAGAATGAATGTGGTCTAAGAACTTAAAAATTTTAAATTGGACATTCACCTATTATGGTCCAATATCCAAAATCTAAATACATGGTTAGATTCAGCATATCAAAGAACCCCAAGAATTCAATTTTTGATGAAATCAAACAAAGTTTAATTTTGGACCCTTTTGATCTCAATGTGGACAAAAATGATAACAGGGCCCAAAAATCAAAAATCTAAATACATGGTTAGATTCAGCATATCAAAGAACCCCATATATTCAATTTTTGTTGAAATCAAACAAAGTTTAATTTTGGACCCCGATTTGGACCAACTTGAAAACTGGGCCCATAATCAAAAATCTAAATACATGTTTAGATTCAGCATATCAAAGAACCCTAAAAATTCAATTTTTGTTAAAATCAAACTAAGTTTAATTTTGGACCCTTTGGACCTTTATGTAGACCAATTTGAAAACGGAACCAAAAATTAAGAATCTAAATACACGGTTAGATTCGGCATATCAAAGAACCCCAATAATTCAATTTTTGATGAAATCAAACAAAGTTAAATTTTGGACCCTTTGGACTTCAATGTGGACCAATTTAAAAACGGGGCCCAAAATCCAAAAACTTAATACACGGTTAGATTCAGCATATTACAGAACCCCATATATTCAATTTTTGTTGAAATCAAACAAAGTTTAATTTTGGACCCCGATTTGGACCAACTTGAAAACTGGGCCCATAATCAAAAATCTAAATACATGGTTAGATTCAGCATATCAAAGAACCCCATATATTCAATTTTTGTTGAAATCAAACAAAGTTTAATTTTGGACCCCGATTTGGACCAACTTGAAAACTGGGCCCATAATCAAAAATCTAAATACATGGTTAGATTCAGCATATCAAAGAACCCCAAGAATTCAATTTTTGATGAAATCAAACAAAGTTTAATTTTGGACCCTTTTGATCTCAATGTGGACAAAGTTGATAACGGGGCCCAACAATCAAAAATCTAAATACATGGTTAGATTCAGCATATCAAAGAACCCCATATATTCAATTTTTGTTGAAATCAAACAAAGTTTAATTTTGGACCCCGATTTGGACCAACTTGAAAACTGGGCCCATAATCAAAAATCTAAATACATGGTTAGATTCAGCATATCAAAGAACCCCATATATTCAATTTTTGTTGAAATCAAACAAAGTTTAATTTTGGACCCCGATTTGGACCAACTCGAAAACTGGGCCCATAATCAAAAATCTAAATACATGGTTAGATTCAGCATATCAAAGAACCCCATATATTCAATTTTTGTTGAAATCAAACTAAGTTTAATTTTGGACCCTTTGGACCTTTATGTAGACCAATTTGAAAACAGAACCAAAAATTAAGAATCTAAATACACGGTTAGATTCGGCATATCAAAGAACCCCAATAATTCAATTTTTGATGAAATCAAACAAAGTAAAATTTTGGACCCTTTGGACCTCAATGTGGACCAATTTAAAAACGGGGCCCAAAATCAAAAACTTAATACACGGTTAGATTCAGCATATTAAAGAACCCCAAGAATTCAAGAATAAAACCCCATTGAAATTGATCAAGAAATAAGCAATTTATACGAAGTATCTTCTTTTGCACAATACTGTGCAATTGATTATTTCTTGCTATTGCGCAATACTGTACAATTGACAATTTCTTGCTATTGTGCGATATTGTGCTATTGGATATTTCTTGCTATTGCGCAATACTGTGCAATTGAAGATTTCTTGCT